GAGGGGGTGATGTTAGGGTGGGGGTGAGGGGTGATGTTAGGGTGGGGCTGAGGGGTGATGTTTGGGTGAGGGTGAGGGGATGATATTAGGGTGGGGGTGAGGGGGTGATTTAGGGTGGGCGTGAGGGCGTGATGTTTGGGTGAGGGTGAGGGGGTGACATTAGGGCCGGGGTATTTTGAAGGTGGGTGGCAAGGGATGATGTTTGGATGGGGTGATGTTAGGGTGTGGGGGGATGTTAGGGTGGGGTGATGTTAGGGTCGGAGTAAGGGGATGATGTTTGGGTGGGGTGATGTTAGGGTGGGGGGCAAGGGATGATGTCTGGGTGGGGGTAATGTTAGGGTGTGGGTTGAGGGGATGATATTAGTGTGGGGTGACGTTAGGGTTGGGGTAATGGGGTGATGTTAGGGTGGGGTGATTTTAGGGTATGGGGTGAGGGGATGATGTTCGTGTGGGGTGATGTTAGGGTGGGGGTAAGGGGGTGATGTTAGGGGGTGGGGTGAGGGGATGATGTTAGGGTGTGGGGAGATGTTAGGGTGTGGGATGAGGGGATGAGGTTAGTGTGGGGTGATGTTAGGGTCGGGGTAAGGGGGTGATGTTAGGGTGTGGGCTGAGGAGTGGTGTTATATCCGGCTATCCTACCCTGGGATAAACCGTTAAACCGAGATCCGCGGGGGAGAGTGGACTGTTGTGTTCTTGATATCCGGGTCAACATTCAAACCACAACAAAACCCTGGGATCTTTCCATGCTTTTTGTCAACAGTCCTGTCCACACTCACCCCAAACAGAGTTTGGGAAAATGACAGCGCCGCCGTGAAGCGCTGTGCGACGTTAGATTTTTACTTTAAACATTTTAAAAATATTTAGACATTTATGACTTGGGAAGAGAGTCGAAACTGAAGAGGGTACCGGTAGGCAAGAGATTAGAATTACTCTCGCAGCTCAGTGATACAGTTACAGGATCCAGCAGTCCCCGTGGTCTAACTGCAAGCTTGTTGCAATAATGGGACATACAATCGTAAAATGTTGAGATTCCTGTTTACAAACGGCGAATTTTTTGCATTTACCTAACAACTTATTATCAATTCCAAGCGCCTAGGAAGTTATTCCTCAGAAGGCATTGGGTTAGAGGTTTTTATGACAATGTGGCTGGGTGCTTGCTCGGTTGGGGAATCAAGTGTTATCGGGGATTAAATGGGAATATAAAATTCCAAACGCAAAAAAAAATGGTCTTACTAAATGGTATAGCAGTCAGGGGGGGATGGATTGCCTAAGTTCTGTTGCTCGCTAGTACGTTGGGCTCGCTGGGTTACTTTTGGAGTGGGTGGCTACGTTGTAAACACAGACCTGACAATTATTGTGTCCCGGAGACCTGAGACAGCAGAGTCAGGTCCAGAGTCTTGTTCTGATACACCTGGGGGAAAGGTGAGCTCTGAACCTGGATCTTCTGACCCAGAGGCGGGGACATTACCTCTGCATCACAACAGCCACTGAAAAATAGTCGGAATCTCTAGAGCTGCGCTATCATACACCTCCAGGATAGATGAGATTTGAATCCCGACCTCCTGTTCCAGAGACAGGGACACGACCAATGCAACATAAGATCCTGGTGGAGTTCCAAATTAACCAAGAACTGGCTTTGTGAATGTGTGAGGGAAGGGAGACCGGTCTGACCTGGGTCCAGACAGCGTGTCAGCTCTGGGACCAGATACTTGACAGCTCTATACCCGGGTACCTGACAGCTCTATACCCGGGTACCTGACTGCTCTATACCCGGGTATCTGACTGCTCTATACCCGGGTACCTGACTGCTCTATACCCGGGTATCTGACTGCTCTATACCCGGGTACCTGACTGCTCTATACCCGGGTATGTGACTGCTCTATACCCGGGTACCTGACTGCTCTATACCCGGTTATCTGACTGCTCTATACCCAGGTATCTGACTGCTCTATACCCGGGTATCTGACTGCTCTATACCCGGGTATCTGACTGCTCTATACCCGGGTACCTGACAGCGCTGGGATCAGGTATCTGACTGCTCTATACCCAGGTATC